TATTCGATCATTAAAAACATATTCTGAGGTAGTCATAAACACATTTGCGGCGTGAATGCTAAAACGAACCATTAATACTCGCCTTTGGTGGCTATACGTATGCTTTATATGATTTATTATTCATTCAAGATGCCATTGATTGAGAATTTGTTGTTGACACTGGCATATAAATATAGACATATGTGTCACAAAATAAATAGACAATAAGGTAAAAAAAAAATAAGTAGACAAGAAAATGGACAATTTAAAAATGAGAAATTTTAAATGTCATTAAGATGATAAAAGTAAAAGGATTTAAAGTCCTGTCGTAAGATAACATAGTAATGTATCTTATCTTATTTATTACGCTATTCATATGTAAATATGTCAAATTAAATAAATAAAATGTTACAGATATAAAAAATAATAGAAAAAATGTAATTAAACTAATATTCCTTTTAAAAACATCATACATAGAAATTTGACATAAATAGTACACAAATATAGAAATTAAAACTTCAAATGTCAAAATTATATCAAGATGACAAAGAGTAAAAGAGTAAAAATTTTAGTAAAAAAACTATATTTAATTAAAAAATTGTTAACTTATTTAAAACATAAGAAAAATACTAATATAAAAATATGAATGAAATAATATTAAATATATATATATATATATATATGTATGTATTAGGGTCTATTATTTTATATATATAAATACACACACATCCTTATATATATTTAAGAAATATTTTCATGCATATACTGTATGTAGATTTATATTTAATTTATATTATATATAAATATAAATATTTTATATATAAATAATATTTTTTCTTAAATATACATGCATGTGTGTATTTATATATACAAAATAACTATACACAGTGCACCCACATATATTATGTAAATACAAACTTTTATTTTAGATGCGATTAATCGCGATTAATAATTTGACAACCCTAATATATATATATATATATATATATGAAGAGTTCAGATGCAAAAGCCTCTAAGTGCCATTTGAAATTTTCTTCTGGAATGATAATTTTTTATCAAGCTTGTATATTTAATTTCAGTGATTTCACTTAAATGGCAATGATAATTACCTATTAATTGTTATTTAAGTGAAATTACTTAACTTAAATATACAAATTTGATAAAAAATTATCATTAAAGAAGAAAATTTCAAATGGCATTTAGAGGCTTTTGCATCTGAACTCTTCATACAGTATATATATATATATATATATATACTGTATATATATATATATATATATATATATACTGTATATATATATATATATATATTAATGTTCAACAAATATAACACTGAACACTTCACTACAAACAGCATATTTTTTTGTAATGGGAGTTGATTTCTTTGAAAACCTTTGCTGCTTTATCAATATGCAGTGATGCATGTAGTCATGAAATCGTAGACTCTCCCGAGATCACAAGTGGTCACAGGAGACACATTTGAGATGCACGTTACCAGGTGCAAACAGGGCCATAGTTACACACCCCGGGTCAGATAGCCACTCAGAACATGTTCGCTTTTAGGCAGTGAAGACTGGAACGCTATTTACCTTTAAAGCTTTTATGCATCGTCCAGATCTCCTTTTAACAACCCAGATGGGACATGTTGCATCACCCTAAAGTCTTTTATCCACATCCAGATCAGATTCTACAAAGAGCGAAGGGGTTAGGACACAGGCGGGGATGTTGTGGTCTGTCTGGTCCCTTTTGATTTACACATCCAATATCTCCATATCTGTCATCCATTTCCTCCCATTTAACTTTATGACTCTTGGTGACTGTTTGAAGATCAATGGAGGAGGACAGACTGCTGCGGGGAAAGGGAAGTCAGAAGTCTCACAAATAAAGTGTCTTTCTATGTCTCTCTCACATACACACAACATCTCTTGTTGTTCTCAAAGCCGGTGTCACTCCTCAGAGCCGGGTCGTTGAGCGTGCTGAACACACCACTTCAGCCATGCTGGGCATGGAGAGAGCCGTAATTACAGAGAAAGAGCCATCGGTGGAAATCAAGAAGTTCAAGGAGCAAACAAGCTTTGAGATGCCCGATATGGGGTCTAATGTGAACGCTGACTGAGTGCAGTTGAATCTGCTGATCTATGGAGACTCTGACGGGGTCTCGGATCGCAGTGTATTCTTGAGAAGGGGCAAGGGAAAGGGGAGTGTGTGGGAAGGGAGGACGCTGCATTGTTCCCTTTGCATTATTTAGCTTAATGTGACAGTGTTTGGGTATTAGTGTCTGTTGAACCGCCGTCATGATGGAGACTGTGAAAGTGCCTATTTGTTTGGTCTTCATTAACTCCAGAGTCAGAAGTTCAGATGAGGCCAAATGTTTGGAAGAGAGAGAAAACCGATGCCTTTCACGTGCCGCAGGAAATCTGAAACTGACCACATGAACAACCAACTGTCTTCACTGTAATATTATTGCTTGTGAAGCCACGTTGAAAAAAAAAAAAGGTTTATGATAATTCAGGTTATTTGATCATTTGCTAAACCCATCTTAAAATGTTACTGACCTTGCTAAGGCAACTGTTGCGTCCATTATTTTCGGAGGCTTTTGCTCTGTATATAAGTAACCACAAATATCTTTGTTTAATAGTTTTAAACACAATTTTATGGAAATAAACCAATTTTATTTTTGGAATCACACAAGATATCCAAAGAGAATTAAAGCGTTTTTTCTATTTCTAAATATTCAACTAAATATATAAATTAAAATAGAATATTTATACTTCATATCCAGCCATTTCAAGTTCATGTAATAATTATTCAATTACATTTTTACCACTTTATAAGGACATTTTACACAATTCATCTTACAGTGTTGGTCAGAAGTTTGGAAACATTACTAATTTTAATGTTTTTAAAAGTGGTCTCTTATACATCAAGTCTGCATTTATGTGATCAAAAATAAACAAAAAAAATATTATTACAATTTAAAATAATGGTTTTCTATTGGTTTTGATGCAAAGCTGGATTTTCAGCATCAGTGCTCCAATCTTTAGTGTCACATGTCCTTTAGAAATTGTACTGTAAATATATATATATTTGTACTTGATAACATAAAAATACCCTTTATAATAACGGTCGAGTAAAATATATTAAAATATTCTTAGCTCCTCCAGTTTTTTATCTCTGGTTTTGCTAACCCAGTGATGCTGGTGCACATTTAAAGCTCTTTCCAATAAATATCAAACCCAACCAATAAAACAAAGCCGAGGGCTTAAGAGAGGTGAAGATCTATTTACTGGTTGCGTGAAGCAGACAGCCTGCAGCGCATGTACAGTACCACAATGCTAAAACCCCCTCAGCAATCTGATCACCTCACCAGCTGAAATCAAGATACTTCTGAGAAACTCTCTCCTGACAATGAGTACGAGAAGAGAGCGCCCTGGTTTCTGGTGGGGAGATTGTTTTGCGTGGGTTTTCCGCCAGTTGTCCATGTATTAAGTTTACCAACTTGGCCTCTCGCTGACCTGGCTGGAAGAGCTGGTTTCAAAAGAAGATTGATCTGTGCGTGATCTCTGACAGGCCTGAGAGAGTCATTGGACCCTGGAGAGCAAGGCTAAATCAACACTGAATGCATGCTTCTCATAGCCCACGGTCTCAGGCCCCAACCTGCCTGTTCCACAGGGCCCGACTGACCTTGGGAGACAAGAGCGACCACAACTGCCCTTCAAACCAATGTAAGCTATGAAGTCTGTATGGATCCTTCCGGACAAAAAAAAACAAACAAGGTGACCTCTAAATTTAAACTTCTTTTGGCTTTCATAGATAGTACTAATCCCTCATGACTAAAAAAATGACGTATCTGAGCCGTCAACAAACATTCAGGCTTAACAGAAACAGAATAGAATGGGACACGTCCATAGCCACTAGATCTAAATGTCTTGCTCTTCATTGCTTGTACTTTCACAGAAACACAATGCAAATCACAGTTACAGTCAAAACCTTAGTCACGAGATCTGTTCTCAGACATTTTTGCTGATGTCTAAACTCAATGTGAGTTGCCAAGTACATTATGCTTCCTTGATTTTGCTTGCACTGATCATCCACAGTTTGATTGAAACCATTAACGATAAGGACAATAACCAATTAAACATAGGCAACCACAATATGGATGCATATGCAAGTTAGAGAAATCTGACACCGTCTTATTGAAATTCGTTTACTCCAAAACCTTTTGTTTAAGATCTATGGTTATCATGGAAGCAAAATAAACTATCATCTGATTCTGAATATGAGATTCACTGATCTCAGTGAGGATAAAGAAACATCTTGTAACCAGGCAGGAAAAGCCATGTGTTCTTAAATGCCAGAAAGAGAAGAGCACAGTCTGGTTTTCTCACAGCTGTGGTAATATAAACAGATGCACTGTGCTTTAAAAAGCCAGACCTATTCCAGGAGGCTATCTACAGTATACTAGATTCTGGAAACAGAAGGGGTAATGTTTTCAACGTAACCATGAGGGATATGAGCCAAAAAAGTAAAGGTCAGATACTCACGAAAGAAGAGAGTATCTTGAGTGCCACGGGTTTAGTTGTTTGCACTCTTCTCTTTCACTACATATTCAACTTTAAGACTTTTCTACGTCTCATCTGTTTTTCTCTCCAGAGTCAGACCATATTAGAAACTGCATCTATTGCAAAGACATAAATCAAGAATAACTTCAACATCGGATCTTCATGATGATGCCGATGTCAGTGAGTTTGCTGTCCCTGAACGATGCTACCCAAATGGCATGGAGGAAGAACGTTAAGTGTTTGTTTACACTTGTAAACACTTGCAAAGACTATAAGTAGATGCCACACTTAACTACTGCCTCCTCTAGCAGGGGATTTAGTTTGGTTTAACATGGCCTTGACAATTTCAGACTATAAAAATAAACAGGGGTGCAATTTTAGGATTGTTCAGGATGGCACTTTAGGTTTCTTGGATTAAAAAGTACAGAGAAACATCAAATAAACAAGGACACCACTGAATGATTTTAACCATGGGATTTAATAAAGAAAGACTCAAGAAATCGACATACATTAACATTTATTTTACAAAAGGGGAATTTACAGCTAATAAGGAAAATGGTAAAGCTGTTGCTCATGCATATTTAATGTGCATTTAACAAAAGCCCTTAATGATCAGCAGGTGAACTAGGCTTGGTGAACATTTCTCAGACAGACCGTCTGTAATCCACTGCTTCAGTTCAGTCATACTTCCTGTTCTTTTCCATGTATGGCTAACCAAATATATTAAGTTATAAATATCTTTAGTAAAGTAAACCATGTATGAACAGAGCATTTACATAGTACTTGCTATGTAGATGCGTCACAGCAAAAGCTGAACTTATAATAAATACAAAACAAAAAGGCTACAGACAATGACATCAAAGGCGTGAAAAGTGCAGGGGAAGGCGTTGTGCTGGACAGAAGTCGAGTTCCCTCGTTCGAGACAGGCAGTTTTAGGCCGTGCAGATGATTTCTGTCTAGGCACTTGATTGTTTGATAAGGGAGTGAAGCCAATTTGATTGGCTGCATCCTAACTGATCTCTGGGTCCCTCAAGTCTCTCACACTGTGGTCATGAGTTTTAACGAGCCTGATCGGAAACGTAAGATCTTCTTCTTCAAATTGTGGGAAGCCTTGATTTTGACAAACGCCTTAGCCTGTGCTGACGTCATTCCGTGGGATCCTGCACCTGCCTGCTTGAACTGGGGCCAATTGACCCCTGCACTGCCCTCGGAGTCACTGCTAGTGCTGCTCTCAGCTACATAGTCCGCCTCGCTAGCGCTCGACTCGCTGTCCCCAAAACAGTTGGTGGTATAGTTACTGCGCTCATCCTCGCTTGTGTCCAGAATGGTGGAATGGAAGAGAGAGGCGCACTCCGCTGAATATTCAGAGTCACTGCCAACGTAAGCGTAGGGGCTGGGGTAGTGTGCGTTGGACGGCAGGTGCATGGCAGACATGTGGCCCAACATTTCTCGTTTCTGCCTGTAGTGAGCCCTCCTGTAAGCCTCCTCGTACGGGATCTCATGGAGACCCCTGGGTCGCCGATGGTAGTCGTTGCGCTTGTACTTGGGTTTGGCCAACACGGCCTCGTGATGTCGGTGATGTCCATGGTGTCTCTGGGAAGAAGATCGACCCCCAGTGGAACTGGTGTGCTTCTCCAGGATTCGTTCTTCAGGGATGGGGGCAGGGATTCTCTTGGCTTTTGAGGAGGACTTCTTGTAGGATTTATGCAAGTGGTGGACGTCGTCCACTTGTCGAGACCTCCTAGATCCCGTCCGATGCTTGTCACGACCACTCTCGGAAACATGCTTGGACACATGAGGTCTACTTTTTGCACTGGTGGAATTTTTCACTTTGACAATCTTGATGTTCTTGGTGCCACCCTTACATAGATTTACATTCTGTTTTTGAGCAGCGATGTACTGGGCACTGACCATTTGACCTCCCTCGTCTTGGCTTTGCGAAGAAGAACCGAGACTGAGCAACTCTGGAGCCAGCTGCTCGGCGTCTTCACCACAACTTCCTGGAGCCTGAGCTTTAGGACTCCTCTTAAGAGGACTTGCTTTCATTGCTTGTCCTGATTTATTGTCCTCCACAGTGTAATAAGAATGCTTGTTGAGTTTGGGAGAGGAAACTGCATTAGGGCTGTCTAAATCCTGGCAGTCCTTCGATGCAACACTTAAAGGCTGCCCTTTACTGGCTCCAAAAACGTTTTTCTTCAAGAGGCAACTAGTGTTATTATCATTGGTGATTGAGTAACCGTTCTGTGGCTGACTTGGAGACTCAGAAGACCACTGTCTTTGGGGCGAAGCTGTGCTTGGCTCAGTGCTAGTTGCTGATGCATCTTGTAAACATGTCTGCCAGTTAGGCTTGAGGTCAGAGGTCCTATGTTGGGCCTGGGCAGAAGCAGGGGCCCGTGAGCAAAGACTAGCCTGCCTCAAAATGCTCTTGGAGGGGTCAGTGTTGATGCTTGTTCTGGGTTTGCAGGTCCTCAATGGTTGTGCCCTCCTCTGAAGTAGCCCAAAGATATAACTATCCAGTTTTTTGTTTGGGAGCACCTGAGAGGCATGCCAAGATGAATTCTGGGTGCCTATGACCTGCTCAGGTTTCGGTTCATCACTCGATGGTTCACCAAGCTTGGAGAAGCTACAATCGTCCTTTAGGTGACTAGTCATGGACTGGAAGTAGATGGGACTCTGGACAGCCACCGCATGGAGAGGGCTGGGGTACCGGTAAACATCATTACCGTTTTTGGCAATGAGATCAGAGTGGAATTTGGAAAGGCCATCGCAGGAGCCATCCGGGGAAGGGGAGTAAGATGCAGAAAGAGACCTGCGGACTGTTCCAGAACTTGAGTCTTCGCATTGGCAATCACACTCGGCACAACTGCCCAGCTCATCTGCAAATCCCAGAGGACACAACAGTTAATACTACAAGAAAATGTAACGTCAGATTACTAAAACCAATATTTTCATTATCCTATGGCATGTGAGAGGAGAGTATATCTGATTCATAGAGTTCTAGTGCTCAGCTGGGTGGGTGGTTGATTAGTTTTGATGTGCTAATGAGCCTTTTGTTGCTGGCTTATAGGTGTGGCTGGGATGTGAAACTGTTTCTATCTCTGTCTGGGACCAAACTTCTCTTGTTTCACCTCTATTTGCACAGTTGAGCTTAAGTGATTACAGAATGCTCTCTGCTAACGGTAATGCAACACAAAAACAGATGTAATTTGAAGAAACTAGAAACAAACGAACAGAGCGTCCCTTCTTTGTGATACCAGCTTCTAAGCCTGGAGCAAGAAATCACCATTAAGTAAAATAGTTCTGCATAACAAAGCAAGAGAAGGGAACAGTGTTTCAAGAATGCATGAAACATTTCTGATGGGTAAGACCAGTCTGAATCACCCAGAAACCTCAAATCGTCACAAGGAGACTCTCACCTGCAGGCTTAAGCCTTCCCTCAGAGGCACAGAGCGAGGTGTCGAGGGGGGTGCACAGGCAGGTGGTGGAACGACAACTGGACAAACACTCGCTGAAGACGGAGTTGGAGGAATTGGAGAGGGATCCGGAAGCACCGTCGCTTAGGTCGTAAAAGCCTGGGAGTGAGAGGGTGAGACATTAACACATTCATTTAACATCTTTAGAGCTCGCGTTTGGAATCTACTTTCAATTTGAACAACATAGCGTTTAGGGAAGGTATACATTGGCCAGAGGAAATAGAGATAGGAACCAGAGCTCCATACATCACAATTGATATTAGCATTAAAATGGTGAAGAATAAAACCATAACAACTACTACAAACAGCACTCAAAATAGCTAAAGGTTGAATAACTCTAGTTTCACGTTAGAAGCAGTTGCAGTATAAGGCCATTTTAACAATTAAGACTTTCAGAGAGGAGCATACACACATGTAATCAATCTCCACTTTATATAACCTTCCTCCAACAAAAGTGCAGTCAGTTCCTGCACTAAAATTACCTCTCGTTTTTGGAATGTAAACTAATGTAGCTGTAGCAGGCCTCTGGTACCGGGTGCAGATTGTTCACATTACCAAATTAGTGCTTAAGCAAAACAGCTAAACAGTTTCCAACAGACATTAGGGCTCACAGGTACACATGCTACTACATGCCCAAAGCATATAGTGATATAATTCGAACAGGACGTCTGATTACCACCCTCGGGTGATTGTAGAAGATTAACAATCATTAGAAATGCTTTCCCGAGCTCGTGAATCAATTTTATTGGAAATCCTTTCTGCCTACGCCAATTGCTTAGATTGGGTTTATGCAGAAGATTCTGGAGGCAATCAATTTTGCCAACCCTTAATGATAATTCGATAAAACATGCAGTGCACAGAATTCAAGCCCCTTTTAAAGAGCCATGGCTCCACAAATGATACTAACCCGAGCTTGGCCGGCTGTCCGTTTCCACGTGTTCATGCGAAGTCTCTGTGTCCAACCGCAGGTCACTGATCTGCCGGTCTAATTCCTGGAGCTGGTTGATCAAACCTGCATCTCGTCTCCTAAGGCAGTTCTATAAAGGAACAATACATATTGAAAAGATGTTAACAAAAGGAGCTTCATAAATGGTAAAAACGTTTGGTATTTAATTTTGAAGGTTTTGCCCTGCAGCCCAAACAAGAATCTGCAAACAGTTACATTTCACAATTGATGTCTCAATGCCGGTGGCCTCATGGCACTGATCAGACAGATGTAATGAACTAAATTAGAGTCACACCTCGCATGGGAATAACCATCCAACTTCGACACACAGCTTGCGAGCAATTGGATGCATCTGACAACACCCGTATCATGTGCTGCATTCCAAATTAAGCATGGTGAAACGGCAGACTGAGGAAAATGTGGCCCCTTCAAAGCAGAAGGACATTACTTCAAATGACCTATAATCAGAGGCATGTTATCTGCTGCAAAATTTAACTGCTGTTTGCTGACAGGGGAGGTAATGCAGTGCAGATTCCAGGCTATATGGAGAAGTGGAATGGCGTTTCCTCCGCTGCAGACCGAGGCTGTAAAAAAGCCTGGTCCTGACAGGCGGGCTACAAGTGATTTATGGGCCCTGAGCGCTCAGCATGCTGGGCTGTGCAGACCATTTTTACACAAAGTGCCATTTGCAGAGCACACCGACGGTTATTTTGAAACGGCGTCAAATTAACCCCAGACCACTCTTGATGGCCTGGGCTTGGGTTTTTTGAACGATGGTGTCTACATCACTGGTTTATACTCAATTCATTGCACAAGACCACATATGATCAGTTGTTTGTTTTGGGGGAATCATAAGGACATCAGGCATTATACGATCCACACATTGCCATTAACTTTAATGTAGTTCTGGGTGTGAGGCCTGCAAACAAACAGACCTCAAGATAAACAAGTGGAATCACGCCAAACTACAGCGGGGAAGACTCAAGCCACTTGTGTACATGTCTGAGGCTTTAGCAAAGCCAGGAAATAAATCCAAATCTTCTTTTGTGTATACAATACATTAACCACAATGCATGAACCCCGTAGGGTTACAATAATGGAAATGTTTGCAAATACCTCAAGTGGAACCAGGTGTCTTTGGCCCAACTGTTAAATTTAATCTTGGTCATCCTCTAAAGACAGCAGGGGGCTTGAGCTGGGCTTGTAAAAAGTTCATTTCCATTGAAGCCCATCAACTAATCTTATTCAGGCCTGTCAGACCCCCTCCTAGACTTGCATTAGAAACTCAGGGATGTTCTACTACCTCCAGGAAGTTTTATTTAAATGGTTCTATTTTTGTTTTAACGTGTTCCTAATGATTATAGCGCTGTGTCACATGACTAAATGCAAAAAAAAAAAAAAAAAAAGAAAAAAAAAGAGCCAATTTTGTCTATACCAGTATTAATCTTCAAAATACGTTTTCTACGTTTTGCAATTTGATGCAAGACAAATCAAAACCAAAATTTAATAGACAAAAACATTTTAATACTTTTACTTTAATAGCCTATAGCTTTTTCTTATTTTAATAGATCTCAATCCAACTAAGTGTTTAATTATGGCAATTAAAAATAGCCTAATCTAAAGTTTTTTTTAAATTATAATTATAATTTAAAAATATGAAAATGCTCAATGCATTAACCATGTAGTATCATGGCATTTTTGGAAGTACCATTTAGTAATACCATTTAGTATACAATGGTACAAAGAAAAGTAGGCTACAGAACTTATATTAGAATTAGTACTTATCAGAGACCATCACTGTACTATGGTCTCTTGTAAGGGTTATTCAATTAAAATAAAAGTTTAAATTAATTACTTAAAAAAATGTCAATGATAAAAAAATAAACAAAAAAGGCCAAAAAATATGATGTTGGGCCATAGCTTCAACAACAACGATAATAATAAATCAGTATCTATTACTCACCAATTGTTTTCTGAGTAATAAAATATTCTCCTCCAGAAGTTTCTCTTCAGTGTTCAGATAGCTGTCCTCCACTGTAAGGCAAGGTTTGTCCTCCTGACAGTTCAACACACCCCTGACCAGCAGCTCCTGTCTCTGCCTCAGATACTCCAGCTCGGTCAGACCCGCAACAGTCGCGTCCACGCGCTCTCGGGTTCGAACCCGCTCCACTTCACCGGAGCGCGCGTCGCATTCCTTCCGATCCCGCATCATGAGCGCGCAATAATCCCTGGACACCAGCATCTCTGACAGCTCATTCATTTATATATCCACCGATGATAATCTGATGGAGATTCTTCTTAAGAACTAAGTACATTTGAGAAACACTTACGATATGGTCAGATAATCTCCATGTATTAAAAGTGATCATCAAAACAAAAATAAAGAATCCAAAAAAATCAGAGAAAAAAATTATCAGGACTGTTTGTAATATAAATGTGAAAAGTTTGTTGTCCCTGCTGAAGCTCAGTATAAAAAGTCCAAATCCACAGACAGAGGGATAGAGAGGGCGTTGATGTGTACCGTCCGGCTGATACTGGGATCTGAATGTGTCCAGCAGGGAAGAGCTCAATCACACTCGCGCACACAGAGGAAACCTCGATGCTGAGGAGGCCACGGGGTCCCAATGCCCGCCCCGTTCACTCTACCCCCTCCTCCTCTGAATTATGGAGTTGTCTTTTCATGCAGGATCAAGATTCGCATTAGATGGTTTATACTATTCAGATTACATGCAAAATAAAAGAAAGTATTAACTATCCCATCTTATCATATTCAACAAAAACAGAACCACATTTTGTACAGTAGCACTAGCCAGTTACTACAGAAGAAATAAATACACCCAAGCCTACAAAATATGATGAGATTTATAAGTAAGCACTTTCATTTTTGTATTAAAATCAATTTCATATCCTATATTTCATATATCAGTTTATTAAAAAGAACTATGGTGGTACAGTGATGAGATTAGGTGCTGTATGACTGCCATATTCTTATACAGATGAACATGGTAAGGATACCATGGCGTAATGTCTAATAAATGTTAATACTTTAGTAGCTATAATTTCTAAAAGAACAGGAAAATACCAGTGGCCATACAAAGACAAAATGCATGAGGCAATATAAATTGCATTACCATTAATGACATGCATTTCAGATTTTTTAATTTTATAATTAAGATTTCTAAAAGGCGCATCTGATTTAAAGGCACTCAGGTGGAGTGACTGCCCTCTGTTGTTCAAACAAAAACATTGTTTACTTTCAAATGCACTTGATTGACTATTTCTAATTTCTTTTTTACAAATGCACAAATTGCCCTACTAAAATCTTCTAGATGCTGTAATCTAATAGGAAAGACTGACATTTCACTAAGACGTGAGAAAATATACATTGACTCAAACAAAGAATGATCTACAGGTTTTTCTGAAACATGTGTTTAAACATTATTTCTGGTAATAGACTCCACAGCTGCTTCTATAAGAGGCTGAAGTCACATTTCTCAACTAGCTCATTAGTCAGACGCGTGGAGAACTCAAAACAGACATCCGATTTGTTTGAAAATGCATCTGTGAAAAGAATCAAGAATTTACATATCGGGAATGCGATTGTTCTGGCAGGTTTTAAGCTAATTCATATTTTGGATCCAAAGATGTGTATAGTTTAACAGGTTTTATATACAAATTGAGTCTTTTTCCAATTACTATTTTTTTTTTGGATACTCGTATATAAATTCCAATTAAAAATCGGAATAAATGAGCAAACCCCCGTTTCCACAAAAGCATGTCAAATGAAAAACACTGCACCTCTCAAACCCCTGTCCATCAACGTCAACCAATGGCTCAGACAGTTTCGTTTGATTTGCAGCTAAGCAGGCGGTGAAGATGAGTCAAAGAGAGGAGGAGACCCTCAGTAGACGGCACAAAGCTTAATCTCTCTCTCTAAACATGACAGGGATCGAGGAAATGGGATCCATGGCTGCTTCTATGAGGAACAGATGTTTGAAACACAGCTGGTGACCCTTCTCAAACAGCTCTGAAACATTAGCCCAGGCCGAACGGTTACACAAGCACACAGACATACACACACACGGTCACGGATACGGAAAGAAAGATTGGCTTTAGGGCACCAACTCAATAATTGGACAGAGTCGTGATTGCGGCCCCACTCCTTAGGCTACGACTGTGGGACAGGAAGTGACCCGGGATATACATACATCGTAATTGGATCAAAGGCTACAGTCTTTGTACCACCAGAATCAAATCTCTCAGACACACAGGATAAATCCTTCCTTTCAGTGCCAGATTTACCCCCAAAAAGCTCACTGTTTCAATCTGAATTCACACAAGAGAAGTGTCTCCATTAGAATAAATCAAACTGTTTTAACAGTCGACGCTTGATTATTTTATGTAAATCATTTCCCATATAATTTGACCCAAAAAAGCCAGACACTTTCCCCATAAACTAGCTTTCGCAAGTACAAAGTCACATTTGTGCTTTAACCTAATCCAATCACTCACAGTAATTACCTTATGAATTTTGTAAGGCCCATTAAACGAGAACAGGACCCCATTATGTAGGACTGGCAGGAACATGGGGAATAAATTAATACATCTAAATACATCAAAGCCTACAGATGCCGAGCCGTGGCGACAAATCGAGCAAATGCGGCGTGAGGGTTTATAAGCATGATACCAACCGTCACCCCTCACCTATATCTTATGTCATGCTGGTCACAGAGCGCTTTTATACAACACATCAGTCATATCGCCCATGTTGTTACTTTAAACGCACACCCAAAGACTGTGGCAATGAGCCAAAAATAACTCGTCGGAGGTGTTTGTTTTAGTATTCCTGGGGTAGTGGAAACAAAAGACTTGGAAAAAATATTCCATCAAGAGACCGGCCACTACCTGGAGTTGAATGGACGCTGGACGCAGGTGTCAACCCCGAGTCCGTTGAAGCTTTGTGATTGTGATTCGAAAGGTAGAGCTTGCCCATTCACCCCACACTGTGAGAAACCACACACATCAATACAGTCGAGGGATGCTGGATAACATTCAAGGCCAGAGCTTTGCTCACCAAATTAACTTTCCCGATGCTAAAGGCCGTATAAGAATTTGAGGTTAAGACAAAAATTGAAAAGGTCTAAATGAGTTCCATATCTCTTTGTCAAGAAAATCAAGGCTTAAACGAATATTCTGGGTTCATAAGTGATTTTTGTTTCTACATACTGAGGGACAAAGCCAAAATTATTGTCTGTGCTCATCGGCGGCATGCCAAAGATGCTGTGGAACACCACAAGCAATATTTTAGTTTGTACAATTTTATCACTAGTTTCATGTCAGTGCAGTGTTTTGCCTCTTCCATTGTAAATTCCACATAAATATGGACAAATCCAACAATTGGGAGACAAAAATGTAATAAAGAAATTTCCATATTTGACCCAACCATGAACAGCCCAGTATCTTTTAGAGTAGATAAAGCCTATCACATCTGATACACACATTTCTAAGGTCTTTATAGTTATGACTACTTTTATCAAATAAAAGGCCTTATAGTATACACTTTAAGTCATGGTACACGTGTCTTTTTACTGTGAAATCTTTACTGATATTTATAGAGTAAAAAAGAATACGTTTTTATACTTTGTCTAAAGGTTAAGTTAAAGGGATAGTTCACTTTGAAATACATTTTTGGTATGTTTTAGCTTACCTCAAGTGCATCCGAGATGTAGGTGTCTTTGTTTCAACAGTATTTTCAATTTTGATATTTTTAGGTCAAACCGTTCTTGTCTATCAGTCATATAATTGAGGTCTATGGGGTCCACCTCAAAGAGCATGCACAGAGAAGTCCTAATTAAACATGATATAATGACTTGTAAAAAGTCACGAAACAAGCAGCTTGTGTGAGAAAATGAACAGTGTTTATATCGTTTTTACCTCTTGTAACCACTAACAACTAAGATGTAAAATCTATATATATACTGTTCATTTTCTCACACAAACCGCTCATTTCGTGTTTTAGGCCATCAATGTGTACTTACATCTACGAGTCATTAAATCATGTTTAATTTGGACTTCTCTGTGCATGCTCTTTGAGGTGGACCCCATTGACCTCCATTATATGACTGACAGACACGAACGGTTTGGCCTAAAAATATCAAAATTGAAACTACCGCAGAAACAAATACACCTACATCTTAGATGCCTTTGAGGTATTATTTCATATGTCAGGCTTTACAGGGTCATTTACACACAGATGTTTTTGTTTTTACAATGAAATATATGGCATTGCTGTTTAAATATTTTCAAACTGATTATAAGACTGAAATATAATTGAGCAATAGTGCGAGTCATTACTTAATGAATCTAAAACAAGACAAAGACAGCTGAATATTAATGCAAAGTCAGTCCTGCTGCTACTGACGGGTGTCCCATGAGCCTCCTGCTGTAATTCAGACCAACATATAGTGCCCTCGGGCTATTATTAAGTTCGACGTGGTTGTCAGGCTTGATATGTCCTTGTGTCACACATATGGTATCAAAGAATCCGTCATGTCAGCAACAAAAAATATTATAACTCCAACAGAGACTAGAAAAGATTTGTAAACCCTTTTTTAGACACTTTTTACAAAATAATTTGGATCATATGTTACTTAAAACTCTAAACCTGGATCTCGAATCGAATGACTTTGTCAAGGGTGTCGGTTGATGTTAATGTTACAGCAATAAAAACAGATTTGAAAAAGAAGCATGGCCATTGGCACGTGTGGATGGTGATCTTGACATTCAGCCCTTTAAAAAGTGGAGATTAGATTAAAATAAAGGCTGTATCACGTCAAAAGTTCAATGTCAAATTAGTCGGTACAGAATGTCCCGTTTCGAACAACAAAGCTTAACCAGACATCTGAGCCGAGCTGCGTGAGGTCAGGACATTGTCCAAGAAGTTGTTTCTTCTGAGATTTGCTTACTCATACAACTTCTTACCACACAATTTCTCACTTATGAAATCCCAGCTATGCCTTTGTACTTTAAACTGCTTGTGATCCAGTCCAAAGGTCTTTAAAATCAAACAAAAAAAGAGCTATTTCCCTAAAGTAAGACACGGAGAAGACGATACTTCAGCTAAAGAGAACGGCGTCAGCTAAAAGTGGTTCAGGGGCTCTTTTATTCTTTGGAGGATTCACACAATAGTGGTCGGACCAGGCGCTCTCCAGCATCTCCTTACTGTCAGCCTGCGGATCATTAAGAGTATTAATGGTGGGGTAATGTGGACCGACACAATGCCAATGACCCCCTCTCGTCACACAGACCGCTCTCAAAAGCTCTCAAAAACACACATTTACCCTGTAAACACGTTCACCATGGCGGTCTGAGTGCAGACACTCACAAACACATTATACGGGCTCATACGTGCACTTTTCCACCGCAGGTACACACTGATCTGTGTGAGCCGAGTGCAGGCGGGTGATGGAAGATTTGCATGCAGAACACCAAAAAAAAGACAAAGGAAAACCAACGACAAAGAACGATAACAGTGAAAAGATGAAGAGTGATACTGTGAAAAATAATCCTGTTAAAAAACGGTAAACTACTGGCAGCTGTGGTTGCCAGCATCATACTGTAAAAAATACGGTGTGTTACTGTTTTTGAAATTAACAGCTAAATATAGTTTTGTCAGCTACAGTATAAAAGTTAAATTTAACAGCTATGCTCAGACACAAAAACAGTAACACACTGTATAGTTACAGTATGATGCCGGCAACCACAACTGCCAGTAGTTTACCGTTTTTTAACAGGATTATTTTTTACAGGATCACTCTTCATCATTTCACTGTTATCGTTCTTTGTCGTTGGTTTTCCTTTGTCTTTTTTTTTTGGTGTTTGGTGTTTACAGTGTATGCAGGGTGGATGCTGCTATAATATTTACTCATACACTACCATTCAAAAATTTGGAGTCAGTTAGAATTATTAATATTTTTTTTTTAAAGAAATTAAAGGAGTAGTTCACTTTAAAAAAAACTTTTGCTGATAATTTACTCACCCCCATGTCATCCAAGATGTCAATGTCTCTCTTTCTTCTGTCGAAAGAAAATTAAGGTTTTTGACGAAAACATTACAGAATTTTTCTTCATAGCTCCATATCTCAACGGTTCAAGGTCCAAAAGACAGTTTCAGTGCAAACTGTTCAAAGGGCTTTAAACGATTCCAGATGATGAATGAGGTTCTTATCAAGCGAAACAATCGCTCATTTAAACAAAAAAAATGAACGAATCTTTTCCCGAGTCAATTCGTTCGTTTTGTTCGTTGAATGAACCAAATAACACGAAAAAAGATTCGTTCATATTGATGAACGAGTTCAAACAGGAGAGTCACGAACGTGCATCACAGAACAGAGCAAGGTGAGCATTTGAGCTTATAAAACTTAAACTTTTTTATTTATTTTTTAAATGAGCAATCGTTTCGCTTGATAAGACCCTTATTCATTGTTCTGGTGTCGTTTAAAGCCCTTTGAATAATTTGCAGTTTGCACTGAAACTGTCTTTTGGACCTTGAACCGTTTGGTTACCAGTAAAGTGCATTATATGGAGAAAAATGCTGGAATATTTTCATCAAAAACCTTAATTTCTTTTCGACTGAAGAAAGAAAGACATGGACATCTTGGATGACATGGGGGTGAGTAAATTATCAGCAAACGTTTTTTTTTAAAAGTGAACTATTCCTTTAAGAGTTTTATTCAGCAGGGAAGTTAAACAAAATTGACAGTACAGATTTCTATTTCATATAAAATAATCCAGAGATATTATATCATGAAGAAAATATATCATGATTCCACAAAAATATTAATCATCTGTTTGTAACATTGACAATAATAAGATACATTTCTTAAGTATCAAATCATCATATTAGAATGATTTCTGAAGGGTCATGTGACACTGAAGACTGGAGGAATGATGATGGAAATACAACCTTGCCATCACAGAAATAAATTACAATTTAAAATATATTCAAATTCCAAACGGTTTTGTAATAATTGTAATAATATTTCACAATATTACTGTTTTTAGTTTATCAGTTAAATGCAGCCTTGGTGAGCAAAAAAAGAGACCTTTCAAAAACATTTCAAAATATGACCAAATCCAAACTTTGAAATGGTAATGTATGTTGATGAATGAATGTATGTAGATGATTGTTACTTAAATATTTAAACAATAAATACAGTACTCAAAAAGTATTTGGACATTGAGTCACACTAAATCTAGAAAATGTCATTGTGATCAACATTATTTTGAAGAGATTTTCAACTTTTCCCACTTTTCAAGCAAAGATTTCACAAAAAGAAAGCTTTTAAATGATAAAACAAAATATACATACAGTACAGTTCAAAATGAGGACAAAAAAATCTGACTGTCAGACATTATTGTTCATATTGTTAGATAAAAGTGAATTAAAAAAAAAAATGGCTTGGACAGCATTTTTTCACACGATATATTTTCAAAAGAAATGACATTCACATTTAAGTGTGACTTAAAGGGATACTCCACTTTTTTTTGGAAATAGGCCCATTTTACAACTCCCCAGAGTGTAACTGTTGAGTTTTACAGTTTTCGAATGTATTCAGCCGATTTTCTGATATTTAGACTATATCAGAAAATCGGCTGAATACATTCGAAAACTGTAAAACTCAACAGTTACACTCTGGGGGAGTTAAAGTGAGTAAAAAAAAAAGTGAGTATCCCTTTAAATGTCAGTTTAATCACTGATGGTGGAACAAGCAATTTCACAACATAAAGGAAATAAGCAATTATTCCTGTGAAAGCAGATTAAAGACTGATACTTAAAGTATATACTTACAATCTTGCTGTAGTCGTGTGGAGGTTGAGTTTGTTCCACGGATGATCTGGATTTGTGGTTCTGTGATGCCGTTCCTGTTCAGTTCTCTGTTCTGGTTCCATGTCTCCGACTCAAGATGTGAAGTTTTGAGTGAAACATCTGAAAGAAACGCTTTATGAGATAAAAAAGCATTTCCACCAAAGCCCGAGAGGCCTTTTTAAAGGGTTAGTTCACCCAAAACGAAAATTCTGTCAGTATTTACTCACCCTCATGTTGTTCCAACCCCGTAAGACCTTCGTTCATCTTC